TAGAACAAAAAGAAGTAAGCACACCCAAGAGGAGTAGATGGCAAGAAACTGAGGGCTGAAATCAATAAAATAGAAACAAAGAGAACAGTACAAAGAATCAATGAAATGAAGAGTTGGTCTTTTGAGAAAATTAACAAGAAAGACAAACCCTTATTTGAACTAACTAAAAGCCAGAAAGAGAGTATCCAAATTAACAAAATTAGAAATGAGAAGAAGGGCAGAACAGACCCAGAGGAAATCCAGAGAATATCATATTTCCAAATTGGAAAATTTAAAAGAAATGGTAATTTTATTGATAGGTACCACATACCTAAGTTAAGTCAAGACCAGACAAACAATTTAAATAGACCCATAACCCTAGTGAAATAGAAGTAGACATTAAAAGTCTCCCAACCAAAAAAGGGCTCAGGGTCAAATGGTTTTAGCACAAATTCTACCAGACTTTCAAAGAGTTAGCAACAGTGCTTCTCAAATTATTCCACAAAATAGAAACAGAATAACATTGCCCAATTCATTTTATGAAGCCACAATTGCCCTGATACCCAAAGCACATAAATAACCAACAAAGAAAATTACAGACCAATTTCCCTTGTAAACATAGATACAAAAATATTCAACAAAATACTTGCAAATCCAAGAACACATTAAAAAAAATCAAGCAGGCTTCATCCCAGAGATGCATAGATGGTTCGACTTAAAAAAACCAGTAAATGTAATTGTCCCGGCCAGCGGAGCTTGTTATTCGAGGGGATAGAAGAGAATCGGAACCTGTGAAAAGATGGGCGAGAAAGAGAAACCAGTCCAAGCAAACAGGTGCTTGTCAAGGACTAACTTTACTGAGCAGAATCAGCTTTTATAAAGGGTTCAGGATAAGGAAGTAGGGTGGGTGAAAAATTACAGATTCTTCTCGGCCAGGGGTCTGAAACATCTTGTGATAAGCCATGGTTCTGTGAGCACATCTCTGTTGTTGCCAAACAGTATGTTTACCGCAGGTAAGGGAACGGGCAAGTTGAGGCAGGTTGGTGAGCTTCTACAGGTGGTCTCTGAAGTTGGCAAGTTCTCTCAGGTGGTCCCTGACATGTAATCTACCATATAACAAACTGAAAGAAACACAAACACACACACACACACACACACACACACACACAGCATCTCATTATATGCAGAAAAGGCTTTTGACAAAATCTAACACCTCTTTATGACAAAAGTCTTGGAGAGATCAAGGATACAAGGGACATACTTAAACATAACAAAGGCAAGATAAATCAGGCAGATAGCCATCATCAAATTAAATGGTGAGAAACTCAAAGCAATTCCACTAAGATCAGGACCAAGACAAGGCTGTCCAATCTCTTTACATCTATTTAATATAGTTCTCAGAGTTTTAAATAGAACACTAAGACAACTGAAGGAGAACACGGGGATACAATTTAGAAAGGAAAAAGTCAAAATATCATTATTTGCAGATGATATGGATAGTATACATAAAAATTCCATCAGGGAATGCCTATAGCTGCTAAACACTTTCAACAAATTGGCTGAATACAAGATTAACTAAAGAAAAAATATCAGTAGCTCTCCTACATAGAGATGACAAATGACAAATGGATTGGGAAAGAAATCAGGGAAACAACACTTTTCACAATAGCCTCAAATAATATAAAATGTTTTGACATAACTCTAGCCGATCAAGTGAAAGACTTGTATGATAAAATCTTCAATTCTTTGAAGAAAGAAATTGAAGATGACATTAGAAGATGGAAAGATCTCCAATGCTCATAGATAGGTAGGATTAACATAGTAAAAATGACCATCCTACCAAAAGCAATCTACAGGTTCAATACAGTCTCCACCAAAACTCCAACACAATTCTTCACAGATCTTGAAAGGACAATTCTTAACTTCATATGAAAAAACAAAACAAACAAAAACCAGAATAGTTAAAGCAATCTTGAACAAGAATAGAACTGCTAGATGCCCTCATTTTCAATTTCAAGTTGTACTACAGAGATATAGTTATAAAAACTGCATAGTATTGGCATAAAAATAGACAGGTTAACCAATGGAATCAAATCGAAGACCCAGACATAAATCTATACACCTATGGACACTTAATTTTTGAGAAAGAAGCCAGAAATACACACTGGAAAAAAGATAGCATCTTCAATAAATGATGCTGTTGGCCAAACTGGATGTCTGCATATAGAAGAATGCAAATATTTTCATATTTATTCTCCTGCAGAACTCAAGTTCAAGTGGATCAGATGCCTCAACATAAAACCAGACACATTTAACCTGATAGAGTAGAGAGTGGGAAAATAGCCTTGAATGCCTTGGCACAGTAGACAACTTTCTGAACAGAATGCCAATAGTGCAGGCATTAAGATCAACAATTAATAAATTGGACTTCATGAAACTGAAAAGTTTCTGTAAACTAAAGGATACCATCAATAAAACAAAATAGCAGCCCACAGAATGAAAAAGGATTTTTTTTTACCAACTCCACATATTATAGAGAACTAATACTTAAAATATATGAATAACTCAAGAAACTAGATTTTAAAAAAACCAACAAATAATTCAATTTTAAAACAAGGTACAGATCTAAACAGAGAATGCTCAATACAGCAGTCCCAGATGACTAAAAAACTCTTAAGGAAATGTTCAACATTCTTGGTCATCAGGAAAATTCAAATAGAAACTACTTTGAGGTTTCATCTTATACCTGTCAGAATGGCTAAAATCAATAACACAAGTGACAGCTCATGTTGGCAAGGATGTAGAGCATCCTTGGAATCTTCATTAATGGACCCTTCCTCCATTAATGATGGGAGCATAAACTTGTACAGCCACTATGGAAATCAATATTGTAATTCCTTAGAAGGTTGGGAATCCATCCACCTCAAGACTCAAGCTATAGCACTCTTGGGCATGTACTCAAAGGACCATCCTATCGCAAGGACACTTGGTCAGCTATGTTCACTGTGGCTTGTTGGAGGTTGATCTAATGCTAATTACTGGCCCTGAAGGTCTGGTTACTGCCTGCCGGATAAACCCATCCTTGTTTGTGTAAACCTGCCTAAGACATACCTGATTGGTTGATTAAACAGGCTATACCTGGGCAGGGCTGAATGGGGTAGGCATGGTTAGGGTTCCTGGGCTGTTGAGGAGAATCACGGGAACATAAGGACAAAAGGACAGGAAGAAGGAGGATGACAAGAAGGGGTTAGCCTGGAGAAGAAATCACATGGGCCTGGAGGAAAGACTCCAATAATGGTGTAAAAAGGCCCAGATGAAGAATACAAGCAAGTACCATGGGATTATGGATAGAAGGTTAGACTAGATGAGGAAAATTAAGGTGGATGGCATTGGATGGGGGCTGGGAGATGGATGGTGAAGATTTTGAGACAGTGTAAGGAGCATATCTCCCGGGCCCAAGGTAAATAACACAATTATAAATCTAACAGGTGTCTGTGTCTTATTATTTGTGATAGCGAGTTAGATTATACCACTGTGATAATCATAGGGCAAATAATAATAAACATTATATAGCCCAAAAGTCATTTTTTATTTACTACAACTATGGCTTTATTCATAATAGACAGAAACTGTAAACAACCTAGATGTCCCTCAACAAAAGAACAGATAAAGAAAATGTGCATTTACAAAATGGAGTATTACTCTATTAAAAAATGACATCATAAGATCTACAGGCAAATGTATGGAACTAAAAAAAAAAATCCTAAGATAACCTAGAACTTGAAAAGTAAATATGGTATGCATTCACTTATAAGGGGATCTTAGCCATTAAGTAAATGATAATCAAGCTGCAATCCATAGAAACAATCCATGTAAAAAGAAGGGGTCTGGGGCAGCAGGGATCTCGATAGGAAAGGGTTAGGAAGAATAGATTTTATAGGCAGATTGGGGTGGGTGAGGATGGGATGGGGTTGGCTAGAATTGAGCACTTGGGGTGTGGTGGTGTCGAAGCCTAGTGCAAAATATCCAAGGGCAACGGTGGCACATATTTGTGGGAGCAGCTAGATGTTTTCCAAGTGAGATTTGATGCTGGTCTAGAAATAACGTGGTGTTTTGGGCTTTCAACTATCAGGAAACTTTTTTTTTTTTTTAGTCTTTGAACTGGACATAAGGTTCCTGTGTTTCCCTGACTAGAACAACACAGAATAAAGTTTTATTCTGTAGGAGTGTACACCCCTGCTGTCCACTCTATGGACTGTTTTCATCCATGTAAGGGTAGAAACTAAAGATGGAGAATATGCACAGTAATGGGATGGGTTGTCTGTGAAGGTACAATTGATTTCAGTCCTGTAGGAAAAGATGCCTCTCAGCCATTGTTTTTTGCTCTACTGGACAACAACTGTTTTGCGCTATTAACAAATACCAGTATTCTGGATTTCTCACGTGAGTTCAAAAACTCTTCACATCACTGTTCCTTTGCAATTCCTTGATTTATTACAGGCCAGAAGCACGTGCTCCGTTGTGGGCAGGGCTATGGGGTACATTAAACCCCTAAGGAAAGTGGTCAGACAGCTTGTTTTCCTAACTGCCAGTACTTTACTCCTCCTGGGATTAGAAGATCATCTGATATGGTGGACGAAAAGTGCTCCAACCATCACCAGGTCCAGAATGGATCAAAAAGTCGGGCAAACCAGCCCAACAGGCAGCTTCTGCGTCACTGAAATTCAAACCCTGGACTTGAACCATCCCGAGCTCCTTTTACCACCTGCCGCTTTTATCCTTTAGCCTCCCTACAAGTTTCTGCCTCAACCGTAACGACCTGACTTCCAGGTAGGTAGAATTTGCTCAAATCAGGAAAGCCTGCGCAGAGGGCGGGGCCTGGGCGGGGCCTGCCCCGGGGCGGGACCGGTCTGGGGGCTGAGTCAGCGCCACCGCTCAGGCTTCTGGTCCTTCCTCCTTGGCTCCGCCTCTCCTGTCTGTGTCCGCGGCCTCCGCTTCACATAAAGTTGTTGTTTTGCCAACATGGCGGCGCCCATAGTGACTGGCCTGGTCTGGTTCGTGTAAGGCTCGGGCAACGAGGCAGAGGGTTGTTGCAAGCTTGAGCACAGGTAACCGCCTGCCGGAGCTCAGGAGGGTGAGAGGCAGGCCCCGCTTAGCCCCAGTGGCTGGGGGTAGGAGTTGAGAGTCCCGGGACCTTGCAGTTTTCCAAACTGGGCAAAGCTTCGAGATTTTAGTTTACAGGTTCTTTCAGCTATGGACCATGTTGACAGCTCCGGACACCTGCTGGGAGAACGCACATATTCACAGGGCTTTGTGTTCGAATTCTCCTCTACTACTCGCCTGCCCAAGTTGTCTAGATCTTCACTCCGGGGTTGGGGGTCTGGACCCAGACAATGATCATACAGTAGTTCATCTTTGGGGGACCCACAGTGTATGAGGACTTGCAGGTCCTCAGAAGTCTTCTGGATCTCTCATAGGCTCACAGCTTACACAGAAGGTGGAGTTCCAGATAGGAAATAATTTGCCTGCGGCCCTGCAGGAAATTAGAAGTAGCATTTGCTTATTAACATTTGTGTTTTCAAGACATGTTTTTACAAGACTTGTTTGTTGGGGTGAAGTGTGTGTTTAGTTACTTGTTTTGATTCTTTGAGACCGCGTCTTGCTGTTTATTCCAAGTTGTTATGAGCTTGCTCTGTCGTCCAAGCTGATGGTGAACGAACAGTCTTCCCCTTTAGCCTTCTAAGTGTTGGGATCCCAGGCATGTACTCACCCACTGTGTCTGACATACCTTAATTTCCCTCCTCCCTGCCTTGTTTGGCTCCCCCGACCCCCGAGAAGAGTTTTATGAAACTGGCCTTGAACCTCTAATCCTCCTGCTTTTAACTCTGTTCTTGCATATTTTTTTGGGAGCACATGGATGCCTTTGTGTGTGTCTCCCTGTGTTCTTGTTCTTCACCTGTTTCCTACCATTGCTTTAGGTTTCTGTATTTATGATCATCTTTTTGGGCCCATTTCTGAGGCCCTTATATTCTCAATTACTTTAACCATCTGTCCCATGTAAGGTGAGGTCAAGTCAAGGTTGACTTGAAAGAATACTGCAATGATTTGGAAAGAGGCAGAAGAGAACATTCCAGCAAGTAAAGAAATAAGATGAGGCAAAGCTACGGAAGAAAGGGTCCAAGCTAATTGTAAATGTAAGATGTGAGTCATATCTTTTTCATTCAGTGTATCTACACCACCCTCTGCTAAAATGGCTGCTTTTGATGCCAGGAAGGGTCAATGCCTATTAGGACTTCCATGGAGAGGTACTTGAAATGACCCAGAGCTATGCCTAGGAAGAACAGAATAGAGTTGAGACCTAAAAGTTCTGTAAACTCATAGGTATGAGTAAAGACTATTTGTTCTTAGTGTATTCCCCTAGTGAATAAGCATCTGAGGGTGATCGTGGGCCTGTGCTAAGGGTGTGGACTTTATTATTTGCAGTGCTGGGGATGGGACTAATCAGTGCCTCAGACACTGGTTGCTCTACCACCAAGCTGTATTCAGCCCCCATTTTTACAGGATTTATTTGTTTTATTTTTATTTGGTACTGGGGCTTAAACCCAAGTACCAAGGATATGATGAACATCTGTTATATATGCTTAATCTTTAGATTTTCTTAACAGATCTGTTTTTGTTTTGTTTAAGATTTGTTTTTAATTATGTGTCTCTGTGTGTATGTGCACATGAGTGTAGGTGTCCATAGAGGCCAGAGGCATCAGATCTCCCTCAAGCTAGGGCCGTAGGCAATTGTGAGCCACCCAGTGTGGGTGCTGGGAACCAAGCTGGGATCCTGTGCATCTCTCCTGCCCCTTGTTTGTTTGTTTTAAAGTCGGCGTCTTGCTGCATAGCCCAAGCTTCCCTGAAACTGATGGTAGCCCAGGTTGTACTGGCCCTCCTGGCAGTCCTCCTACTGCAACCTCCCAAGCTCCTGGCCTTCAGGTGTGAGACATCACGCTGCTGCTCCTGCTGCTCCTCTTGCTTCTTCTTCTCCTCCTCCTTTTGTTTTCTTGAGACAGTGTTTCTCTCTCCCTGGCTGTCCTGGACTTGTAGACCAGACTGACCTCAAACTCACAGAGGTCCTCCTGCCTCTGCTTCCTGAGCTTTGGGATTACAGGCGTGCGCTACCACCACTGGGCTGACATCAAGCTTTTTAACCCCCATGCATACATTGCTAAATTGCTTCAGAGAGGTGTTCTCAATTTACATTCCTAGTAGTGTATACAGACAATTATTTTCATTAAAACATTTTTGATAAGCAATATATTTTTATTTCTTTGATTAATTGTATAGTTGATTTTTTTTCATGTTTCTTAGTTTTTGTCTTCTCTTATCCCACCTTCATCCTCATCCTCCACCTGTCATCCATTTTTCTGGTGATATGGATTGAATCCAAGGCTTTGCAAGCAAGTACGTACCACTGAGCTATACTTCCATGCCTACACCTTAACCTATTTTGAACATGTTTGGGTTCAATTCTCATATGTGAACTCTTTGTGGAGTTGCATAACCTTTTGTCATTGTAGTTTGGGACAAATAATTTTTTTTTAGCAAATTGTTTACACTAGCAATTTGTTTATATTTTTTCTTTTTCTTTTCTTTCTTACAACAGGGTCTCACTTATGTCTCAGGACATAAGATTCTCTTGTCATAACCTCTTTAGTGCTGAGATTACAAGCATATCCCACCCTACCAATTTATACATTTCTGGTATACAATATTTTATGGTTTTGGAGTAAGAGTGATTAACTGGTACTTAAAAAAGCATCCTTATTAGCTAAGTTTCATGGTGTGTGATAACTATAAGCACAATATTTGGGAGGCAGAGGCAGGGGGTCAGGAGTTCAAGGACATAAGTGTCTGCAGTGCTAGTTCAAGGCCAGGTTGAGCTTCTTGAAAGCCTGTTTCAAATTCCTACTTCCCCCCAAAACATTGGGACTTATGCCAGTTTGTGATTGGAGGTTGAGCTCTAATTTAAAATTTTCTCAAATACATTGAATAATCAGTCATTTTCAGAGCTGGCTGTGGTGGCACACATGTAATCCCAGCCCTGAGGAGCCTGAGGCAAAAGAATGGAGAACTGGAGGCCAGCCTGGGATGTGTATATTGAGATTCTGTTATTTTTATTTTTTATTTTTTGGGATGTACATATGTGCACAAGTATACATATGGAGTCCAGAGGTCAACGTGAAATGGTTTTTGTTATTTAATTTTGTGTGCGTTATTTATCTTATGTGTATATGTGTGTTCCTGAGTGTATGTCTGTATATCATATGTGTGCAGAAAGCCTTGAAGGTCAGGAGAGACATGGGGTCCCTTAAGCTGGAGGTATAGAGCTGCCCTGAGGGTGCTCTGTAGGAGCTGTAGTACTCTTGTACAATGAGCCGTCTCTTTAGTCCCCAGTGCTAGATGGTTTTTTTCAATCTTTCTCTGCATTAGTTTCTGTGATGGGGTCTCTCTCTGAAGCTCTGTGATTGACTAACTTGGCTGGTCAGTGGGCGCCAGGGGTCTTCCTGTCTCCACAACCGCCACCGCAGTACTGGGGACACAAACATGTGTGCTACCTTTGGGCTTTTTACGTGGCTGCTGGGAGTCTGAATTTAGATCTTCATGCTTATGCTGCACAGACTTTACTCACTTGCCACCCAGGCCACTTCCTAGTCTGCATGGGCTTTTTTCTCTGTGAACTTTAACTATATTTATTTATTTGTTTGTGGGCATGTGTGCCATGACCACTGGACACAGCTTTCACAGTTGGTTCTTTCCTCCACCTTGAGGGTCTCAGGGGTCAAACCTGGGTAGTGAGGTTTGGTGGCAGAGCCTTTACCAGCCCTCTTTATGGCCTTTAAATTCTTGTGTATACTTAGATCTGTTTTAATGTTTTCCAGTTCATTGATTTAAGCAAAGGAGGAGTTATTAGAGAGCCTGGTGTAATGCAAGGGTATTTTTCATCCAGAAGAGAGTGTTACTGTGCATTCATATTGCTCCTGCTGGGGATTACTCATTGACTCATTTATCTGTCATGATGGGTAATCAAGTCTCAAAATATAACAACAGCAGTTCAGGTCAACTTGTGTTTATTTATTTTTTGAAAAAGATTTAATTATTATATAGCATTCTGCCTGCATGTGTGCCTGCACTCCAGAAGAGGGCACCAGATCTCATTACAGATGGTTGTGAGCCACCATGTAGTTGCTGGGAATTGAACTCAGGACCTTTGGAAGAACAGCCAGTGCTCTTAACCTCTGAGCCATCCCTCCAGCCCCAATTTGTGTTTTATTATCCTATTTCATTTTCTTTTTTCTATATTTTTTAAAGATTTCTTTATTATTTACCCAGTGTTCTGCCTGCATGTGTGCCTGCACGCCAGAAGAGGGCATTATATCATATTATAGATGGTTGTGAGCCACCATGTGGTTGCTGGGAATTGAAATCAGGACCTTTGGAAGAGTAGTCAGTGCCGTCTGACTACTGAGTAGTCTGAGCCATCCCTCCAGCTCTATTAAATCCTATTTCTATTTATGAAAGAGTAATCCAGAATACTCTTCTTAGGTTCTGTCTAGGAAAGAAGTGTCAAATACCTGTCTAGGTGCCGTCTGCTGATGGACAGCTTTGGCTTATTAGAGTAGTTTTTGAATGTTTGCTTAATAAGAAAACCATAAAATTTCTGACACTCGTACATAGTTGTAATAATATAGAAGTCTATAATAAATGTAATTGCCTTCCTTATATGAAGTTGGCCGTATAGACTTGCTAGTAATTAGCCAACTTCATGTAGTTCACTCTAATTCCTAAATAGTCATATTTACCTATTTTAAAATATCCAAACCCAGCTGATGGGGGGATTTCCCTTTCTACCCTCCCAGTCTGTCACTTACTGTAGCCCTAAAAGAGTAAGAGGTGTTAAAAATAGTGGGACTTGGTATGTCAAGAACTTGTGCAGATGAGCTTATAACAGCCAGTGCCACAGTGCCATGTTATGTGAGGGTGAATTCCCTTTTAGAACCTGTAGCAACCCTCCTGGCAACATTTGATCCAGTGCCTTCATGTAACAGGCCAAACCCTAGATACGGAAACAGTTTTCAGAGAAGCAGATGATTGATGCCAGTTTGGGATGCCAGGTTTTCTTATGTTTCTCTTGTTTTTGAAAGTTCTTTTTACCTCTCCTTTGCTGTTTTGCAAGAAGGCAGAAAATTTAGGGTGTTTTTTTAGTACTACATCCTAAATGTTTGATGAAATCTCATCTCAGCTCCTTTAAAAGGGATAAAGCAGGAAAGTTCTTCATCAGGGCCGTTTCTGCCATTTCCCTGAGGAGGAAACTAGTGAAGTTTCAAGATTAAAATCTGAATCCAGGTGGTTACCATGCTGGACCCTACACAGTATTTTACTCCAGGGTTATGTAACAGTGCCGCTCTGTGTTATGTTCGTGTGTTACCTGCTTCTCTGTGTATATATAGTTGCTGTGAGAGAATACACTTTGTCTTTTGTTTTTGCAGGGACGGAACCCAGGGCTTTTCTGTGTCTTAAGCGCCTGGGACTCTCTGTTGCTGTATCTGCACTGCCTGGAACAGTGTGTGGACCTATATTATTCAATGATATAATGGGACTTTCAGACTAGAGGCTTTCAATGTTTTAAAGTGTAGGCATTTTAGCTGGGCAGATTCCCAGCCAGCTTTCTAGTTTAGCCTGACTAATCCTGCTACTACTTCTCTGTTCCTGCTCATGTCTTTCCTTTCACTTCATTGTTCTGCTGGCAAATCTTCCACCTTGTGTTATGCCCAAGTCTCGTGGACCCCAAAGACCACCGAGGAGCTGATTCCAATGCAAATGTAGTAGACTCTTTTATTAGAAGCTGGAGCTCAGGCCCACACTGTCACCAACCAGCAGTGTAGACTGTAGAATCCCAAGCCCAGGGGGAGGGTTTTTTTTATTGGTTTACAGCGAGATTTGGGAAATTATAGCTTAGCAGTTACACAACTGGGTGACATTCAGCAAGGGCAAGCTTGTTACAAGGTGTTTGTGGCTAATTAACATTGAACAAGCCATCTATAGACCTCAGGAATATTAGATATTTCTATGCCATGAAAGTTCTACCAGGTTGGTGGGCTGCCCAGCACAGATGCCCTACTCTGAGAAAAGATTCCTTCCATTCTTGTGGTTACCTCCAGGTTATTTCTTGGGTAGGGAATTTTATTATCTTCCTCCTGTAATTGGTAGTTCCCGGCGACTTTCAGACGAGGTCAGGCCTGTTCTGTCACTTGCTTTTTTCTCCCAAACCCTCTTTCTACCCTGAAGTTCCGCCTTCTCCCTCTTGCCTAGTTATTTGCTGACAGTTCTTTATTAAAGCCAATCAGATACAATTCTAGATTGATTGCCTTTGGCAGGTGAGGAAGGAACAAATATTTACAAAATATAAGATCTGTGTTGGGGAATGGGTATTCGACTGTAGAGGACTTCTCTGCCCCAACTAGTTCCCAAATAATTGAGACTTTTTTTAAATTATAAAGGCTGCAAGGCATCATAACTGGGCAGGCATCAACCCTCTAAGCTTTTTTGCTATTTCCTAGGTAAACACCCCAAGTTATTTGCCAAAATTGTTCCTATCTGGGCTGCTCCTGTTCCATCAGGCCAGCCCTCATGGCCACATGCTCATGGTCCATTCTGCCACTTGTTGACTTCCTTTTCTCTGGCTTCTCCTCTTGGTATCGCTTCTGCTTCTTCTCTTTCTTCCTGCCTCATTTCTCTGAGACCCCAAGCCCGGGAACCTAAACGCTGCTTACCCATCTTCTGCCCAGCTACAGGTTGTCAGTTATTTTATCTAACTAGTCAGAGAATATTAGCAGCAAAGTCACACAAAGTCACATACATAATTTGTTATGCATGAGAATGCACTCATCTGGTCAGCAGCCATATCTTGGGGGGCAGTAATTAGCATTAGAATACATAGTACCAGACCAAACCTCAACGCCGGTTATAAGAACAATACCAAGATCTGGGCTAGTATTCTTCTCTCTACAGGTACAGTAATCAACAATTGAATACATAGAGACAACCTTCACACAAAGTACAAAAGATCACCCCAAAAATTTGGGAAATGAATATAACGTTTTTTAACTAATGGTTATTTCCTGGTTTAGTCTATAAGGTTTGTTGAACTCACACACATAAATATATATATATATATATATATATATATATATATATATATATATATATATATGAACAATGTTTGTTAATTTTGTTCAGAATTTCTTGTCCTTCTGGGAGTACTGTGTTTGGATCCCTTCTGGTATTTGAGTACGGGGCTAAGTCAAGATGAGTTCAGACAGACAGCAACTGATATGCTGGACAAACTGGAGGGAGGGGCTCCATCATCTCCTGTGCTGCTTTGAGATTCTGTAGCAAGTGGCCCTGTGTGGCTTTCTTTTGTTTCCATGAGGTTTTGTGTCATTGGTGTTTGGGGCATGGATTACCTTTATGTTTCCTAATGAAATGTTTGTATCTAATTCAACAGGACTTCTAAAATGTTCTATTAGGAAATGCTTGCCAAAAGAAGAGAAGCAACTGACAGGCAGTAAATGCTGGGCTGTGTTGATTAGAAGGACCAATCTTGAGAGAGCTCTGAGTGGTGCATATAATGTTCTCTTGTCCTCTTTTCTAGGGTCTTCCCTCCTGAAGAATGGCATCAGTTCGTCAGAGGCTGAGTTTTTATGTCTCTCCTCTGAACAGGCAGCTAATTTGCGGGCCATCTGTCATCCAGTGGGAAAGAAGAATAATTCTAGGGTGTTCCAGATGTATTTACAGTGCCACAGGGAAGTGGCCGAAGGAGTACACAGATCGAACAAGAAAGGATGTTGAGAAGTGGTGGCATCAACAGATAAAGGAGCAGGCATCTAGAATTTCAGAAGAGGACGTGAGTATCCTGAGGGGCAGCTGCTCTCTTTGTTGCTGTTGCCAAACACCTGACAAGAAGCAGCTTAAGGGAGGAAGAATCTGTTGTGATTTACAGTTTAGGGAGTAATGTCCATCCTGGCAGTGTGTCAGGTATGTGAGGTGGCTGCTCACAGCGCGTCGTAGTTAGGAAGCAGAGAATGGACTGGAAGTGGGGTTAGGCTGTAGAAGTTCAAGGCTCACCTCCAGTGACCACTTCCTTGTCAAGGTTCTGCCTCCTTCCCAAACAGCACAGCTAGCTGGTGACCAAGTATGCAAACACATGGTCGTATAGACATTGCAATTGCAAACCACATTAGTAGAGAAGAGGAGCTAAGGACCTGGACTCTGGGCTCACACTGCTTGGTTTAGGGTGTTATTGGGTGTGTGGCCTTAAAGCAAATTATGGAGTCTCTCTGCTCTTTCATTTTCTTACCTAAAATGGAGGGTGATAATAGCACTCATTTGGTTCCCAGGAGGATTGTTGAGAGGAGAAAGGAGCTGGTATAAGGTTAGGGCACAGAAAAGTTTCCAGTGTAGTAGATGTGCCCGTGTTAGTATTGTATGTGGTGTGTGATAGCAGTCCCTGTAGTAGGTATTCTGGCGGAGCTTTGACAGGGGAAACTCGACAAAACAGAAGTTCCAGCAGGTGCTGGCTCCTTTTTGACCCTTTTGTAGTAGGGTGGCACACAGATCTAAGAAGTCATATGTGAGATTGCCTCTGCATCTGTCAGGAGGTTGTATGAGATGAGAAATATCTGCCCCTTTCTGCTGTGGACTTGGCCCTGCCACTTGAGCATCATGGTCTGAGGAGGGAGGCCAGCCTGTTCTTGATGTGATCTGAAATTGGGGTCCAGCCTTCAGTGTCTTAGTAGATCAGTGGACCTTGGCTTCTGGTCCCAGTCCTCTACCCAAATCAGTTGTATCATTCATATTTGGCTGTCACTGATTTCTTCAGAGTGTTCTCTGCCTCCTGTTATAATTGGGTCAGAGAAAGTACTAGAACACTTTCATACTTACATCTTGACTTTCCCTTTGTAACAGCAGCAACTATTGTCAAATTTGTGGAATTTATTAGGTGGGGCAAGGAGGCAAGGAGTTGAATGTCCTGCAGCTGACACTGTATTTGACTTGCCTTTTCCTATCTCCTGACTTTTACTGGATTCACACTCCTTCCTTCTGAGAGTGGGAGCTGTTTATATTCAGCTGGAAAGTGGTTTTGGCATTGTTTTGAAAGAAGATTTGGAATTAAGACTATAGTATAAAATAAATGAACACTAAAAAAGAAAGTTGAGTAATTTACAATGAACACTTGGCCTTTCCCTTAACCCCCATAATTCTCAGTTCCTTACATTGTTCATCTTACAGATTTGTTTTGAAAATGAAAAATGTATCTGAACATTTTTAGAAGACTTCTAAACTGGTGATCGATAGCTAGCTAGATAGACAGACAGACAGATAGATAGATATCAGATAAAATCATGTGCTGTTTTGCCTGGGACTGTGAACCTGACTGAACACTGGTGTGTATGGAACTTAAGAATTCACCTCACATATTAAATACGTTTGAAATCCACCCAAATGAGTGTTTAGAAGCCAAGTATATTGCCACCATCATCAACCACCATTAAAACAAACAAACAAACAAAAAATAAACCCCCACAACTTCCATTTTGTGAGCATGTTACCATGTACCAGGTACCATTTCCATCTGTTGAGTTACTTAATATTGGAACAGCCTGAGAGCAGGCATTATCCTTATCTGGGGAGTAACACGAAGGCCCAGGTAATGTGCCAAGCTGGGACCCACTCCATCCCCTGAGAGCCCTTGCTCTCTGGAAACTCTCTGTATCAGTCATTACTGGGGAATGATGAGCATGGGAAGGCACAGGGATTTGTCTGAGGCCTCATAGCTCATGGCAAAGTGAGGGTCAGAACTGGAGGCCCTGCTCGTGAGGACTGTTACAGCTTCAGAGAGCAGTCCTCAGAGAGGCAGAAGTCATACTCTAAATCACAGTCTGATGGAAATAGGGGACCAGCTTTTAAAAGCCATCCTCTTCCCATCGTTGGCATTTGTACTTTCTCTTAAAGGTTTGAATTCCTGCACTTTTATATAATTATGAAAATTTCCCTTTCAGTCAGATTCCTACTCAATTATAACACAAACTCCTGTCATTTCTTCTCTCTTTTCCACCTCCAGATGATAGAACTCATTTCATTGTCACAAAGGAAAATGACTTAGTTCACACAGAAAAGCACAAGGCAGGGACAGGCAGTAGGCTGAATATATCTCTGCAAAAATAAAAATGTTCACGAATATCAAAGGCTCACTAGCATTGCTCTTCTGTATATCTCTTATGAACTCAGGTTTGGAGTTCAGCTTTGCTAGTCTATTGTGAGTTATTTGATGTTGCCATTAATTTAAATTAATGAAGATTAATTTAATCTTCATTGAATAAGCATACAAAAAAAGGAAAGGCTAGTGAAGAAGCTGTGTATAGGAAATGTTTGGGCAAGGTTGTTAATTAATATGATATAATAAATAGTACAAAAAGATAGAGTGATTATAATAGAAGAGAACAGTTTTTATTTAATAACTTGAAAGTCAAAAACTAGAAATAGGCCAGGTGTGGCACAGGCCAGAGGTCCCAGCACTCAAGAGGCCTGAGGCCAGCCTGGGTTACAAAGCAAGTCCCTTTCCCAGAAAGCAAAAAAACCCTACAAATATATACGTCGAGGATTTTTTTTTTTTTTAAATTACTTTTCTAGCTCCCAAAGAGCGTGATTACAATTTTTTCTTACAGCCCTGAAAATTCCCAGTGAAACGCTATGGGGTCTAATGCACCACAGGTAGGAGAAAGGGCTTTGTAAAGGCAACCGTTTTGTTTCTGCACTCTGTAAAATGAGCGGTTGCACCGTTTGGAAAGGATTTTCTGTCACTCACCTCTTCTTTCCCCAATGCCAGGGATAAAGTCTGTGAGCTTGTACAGGCAAGGCAAGCACTATATCATGGAACTAACCACCAGCCCGACCTGTCTTAAAGGCCAGGAAGCCCCTAAGTATATGCCAGCCTTGCCTTCAGGGCCTTCTCATTCATGGAATCCCCCATTCCCTGCCTGCCACTCTGTTTATTTAAATCATTGTCACCCTTCCAGTGGTACAGAGGTTGCTTTGCTTTTGTATTCTCCAGATTCCAAGAAGAACTTTAAAAAGAGTTCCCTTCTCCAGGTGGTGTTGCCAATCTATTTACCTTGGTTATTTCTAGAGGACGGACAGAACAAAGAAAAGTTGTGCCTTGCATTTTTGTGGGCGGTGGGTAGTGGTTAGCAATTGCTTGTGGTTTTGTTAAAGATTTAAAACTTGCTGAAGTTTAAGAACTTGGCAAGAAGCTGGCCATGACATGGTGACATACACCTATAATCCCAGCACTCTGGAGGCAGAGGCAGGAGGATTGCTTCAAGTTTGAGTCCACCCTGTGCTACCTAGCAAAATCTTGTCTCAAAACAAACAAAACCCCCAAAATACCAGTTTGCTGCAATCTAGTTTGCTTCTCTGATTGAAGATGAGTATTAGTTATTTTTGTTGTTGTGATCAAATACCAGGCAGAAACAAGGTAAGGAAGAGTTCTTTTTGACTCACGGTTTCAGAGAATACAGGCTGTCATGAGAGGAAGGCAGTTGGTCATATTTCATCTACAGTAAGAAAGCAGAGACTCATGAATGCTGCTGCTCATCTTACTTTCTCAGTTCAAGGCCCGAGCCCATGGAACAGTACCACTCACATGTGGGCTGAGTCTTCCCGCCTCAGTTAACCCAGTTGACTGACAGGCTTCCCTTGGCGATTCTAGAACCTGCCAGGCTAACAGTTGGTATTAACCATCACAAGTAGGCTCTGTCCAACATCAGTTATGAAAACACTAGCCAACAATGTTTAAAACATCAGCTTCCTAAATAAATAAATAAAATGAGATTAAAAACATCAGCTTCCACATATGTACAGGGAAGGGTATGAATTCCTGTCTGTGTTTGTATTTAGTGCTTTGGTGCTTTGGCAAAGCCTTGCTGCCTCCTAAAGCTCTAGGAAGAAGTAGAGACCAAAAAGGGAAAGCCAGGGGGCCAAAATTAATAATAATGTGGCCGTAGATGGCCTATCCTCATTGGCCACAAGCAGCAGTTGTCACTCTTCTGTTGCAGGATATTTGATCCCATTGTGAACCCTGAGACTGTGAACTGTAAAAAACTGTCTTTTGTTTGGTGTGGCTCTGCCCTAACACACATCTTTAATCCAAGAACTTTCTGCATACAGGATTTAATAAAGTTAACCCTAGGTCAAAAGGTGGAACAAGAAACCAGCTGACAGGGATTAACAGAAAGGAAGGACTTTGAGAGGAGTATTTAAGACAGCATGGAGAAGAAGGACACTTTAGCTCTCTAGCTCTTGGGCTTTTAGCTGTTGGCTTTTTCCTCTTGGGCTGTTGGGTGAGCTAGCAGGCTTCCTCCTGGGCCATCAGCTGAGCTAGCAGGCTTTTAGTATTGCTCTTTTGGCCTTTTCCTTCTGGGATGTGAGCTGAGTAGGAAGATCAGCTGGGTGCTTTCTCTACCTCTTTGAACAGGTAGGTTTTCACCCCAGCATCTGGCTCCTGGGTCTTCATTGGTAAAATAGAATGGTTGGGAATTTCTTTCTGGATTCCCCATGGCAGAATTTGAGGCTCAGTTAGGGGAGCCTCCGGTTACCTAGACAGGGTTTGTAAAGTCTGTGAGGTGGGGGTGGGTGGGGGAGAAGGCTGTGTCTTTGGTAGATGATGCTTCCTTAGAGGCCAATTAGCATTCATTTAAGAGTTACCACTGTCAGTTGGGCACAACAGTGCATGCCTGTAATCCCAGCACTCTGGGTGGCAGAGGCAGGTGGATCTCTGTGGGTTTGAGGCCAGCCTGGTTTACAAAGTAAGTCCAGGACAGCCAACACTACACAGAGAAATCCTGTCTCGAAAAACAAAACAAAACAAAACAAAAAAGAGTTACACCATCATGTTGGTTGGCAGGGAGGTGAATCCTTGGGGCTGTGCGTGCAGCATACAGCACTCGCTGAGCATGTATGAGGGCCTCAGTTCTGTCCTCAGTGTAAGACCTGGGGGCTCACAGCTCAGGAGTTCAAGATCGCGCCCTTTCCAGAAACTCCCCCAGACCAAGACTTGTTGCAAAAGCAAGAGGTTTAATTTAACCATTGCGCAATGGGGTCACCCCTGCCGGTCAGCAAAGAGTGGCACCTGGAGACAAAAGCCTTTAGGTTTTTAAAAGAAAAATTGCGGGAGATTTGAAGTTGCAGTCTTGGCAATTTAGGATTGGATGAGGAAGGTATAAAGTAAGATAATTGGTTAGTCTTAGGTGCTCAAGCTTGGCCAGTCCCGCCAAGTGTGGATGCAGCTACAATTGAAGGTGGGGGTGGTTAGCTCATCCTTGAAGATTAGGGGCTGCAGACTTTTGGCTGGAGGTCAAAAGCTACTCAGAAGTCTAGGTTCGTTGCTAAGAAACGCTATCTCAAAGACAAGAGTCTGGTCCTTCTTTTGCTGAGTGAAGGTCATTGCTTGCTTGCTTTTTTTTATATCTGTCCTCACAGATAGGGTCACATTCCTCCATTCTCTGGAAAGGTACTAAGAGGCTTTAGCTTAACCTGGACCGAAAACTCAAAACTATAGACTTTAGAAGACATATAGGTTACAAAGTTAGCCTAACCCTTTCATCAGCTCTGCAGAACTTTCCACAAGCCCCAAAGATGTCAAGTCTCCTGTAAGTAATCAGCTCTGTGACTAGACGTGTTCCACTGGACCCTTGTTCTCTGATGTGCACAAACCCTTGACAACGTTTGCCATCCTGCCAGTGGAAGACTGAGGGTGTCCAAATGTAGCAACCTAATGGGACTCCTGCCCTGTCTTATTTATAGTCAGATTTGTAGATTTTTTTGTGTTCTTTATGTTGCTGCTACTGGAAGCTTGAGAATATATGACCGTGGTCTGTGTTTACCTATTTGTCACCACTGGGAAGCAACCAGTGCTGTTCCTTCTGTGGTTGATTCCCTCATGGTTTTTCCACTTCATCCTCTTTTATTGGAAGAGAAACTCAGAGGGTACTGGATAGACTTCAGGACCCAACTAGTGCCTGGAGACCTGGCTGTCAGCACTGGATCCTAGGAAGAGACAGCCACGGGGAGCTGAGGAAGGGACTCCAGTTTTGGAGATTTCTGTGTAATTCAGTGTCTTCTATTTGCATAATGTAGATCTCTGTGTTAGAAGCTCATTTGGAAAAAGTCCTTTAAGACCTAGATAGAAACTGTTTGTGTAAAAGGGAGAAAAAAATTAAAAATACTAGGCTAATTAGCCCTTAGCACATTGTTTTCAATTATTGTGGCTATTCTTTAGCTTAAACCATGATCTTGCAGTTTTGGAGGTTTTAACATTTTTGTCAGTTTACATAATGAGAACGGGTTTATTCTTTAAGGAATTTTTTTAAATGTTAAATTATTACTTTGAGTAAAGTGTTAAAATATCAGTACATGCAGAGCTTCCAGAAAATATGTAACAAATACTTTCTGTCATCTTTTGTCACTCTTTCCTAGAAATTAAAACCAAAATTCTATGTGCTCTCCATGTTCCCATACCCTTCTGGCAATCTACACATGGGCCATGTACGTGTCTACACCCTCAGTGACACCATTGCACGGTTCCAGAAAATGAGAGGCATGCAGGTAAGGGCAAATGCTTTTTTTGCTCCACACAGGAGTGCAGTGTGGTAATGTGTGTTCAGGATACTGAAGAAATCCAACTGTAGTTGAGATTGAAAGACTTCATGTGTGAACATGGACAGCTCAGGGTTTTTTTGTGTGCAGAGATGCCTTGTAACGAAGCATTGCAAGGTGAACCTGGAACAGCTGCCAGGGTGGCTGTCAGGTTGGGGATGAACATGGCGTGGGCTCTGGAAGGCAGGAACAGACGTGGCTAACACTGCTCTTTTCTCAGGAGGAGCTCCCCCGAAAGCAGTCGCTGTACAGTGAAGCCAGTGGTTTTAAAAAGGGAAAAAAGATTGATAAGTGCTACATTCTGGTCAGCTCTGCACCTCTATAGAAAATACCTGAGATGACTACCAAAAAAGAAAGGAGGCTTGTTGTGGCTCCTCGTCTTACAGATACAGTACATGACTAGAGGGACTCAGCATTTAGGCCTCTCCTGATGATACTGGAAAACCGTGATGAAGAGCACATCAGAGCACAACTATTGACCAATGGCTAGGAAGCAATAGAGGGTCAGGGTTCCCAGGATTTTCCCTGAAGGCATACCCTCAGTGATCCAAAGACCTCCCATTAGATCTTCCTCTTTCCATGAGAGCTTCATACATACCAGGCAAGTGTTCTATCTTAGAGTGTCATCCTTAGCTCCTCTTCCTAATTTTATTTTGAGACAGGGTTTCACTAAGTTGCCCAGACTGCCCTTGGACTTAGAATCATTCTGTGTCAGCCTCTGGAGTAGCTGGGAGGCTTGTGCCACCAGGCCCAGCTAGTCCCTGCCGCTTGAAGAGCCCACCATTGTTCAGTAGTACCACCTGGGGAAAAGGCCTTTAATACATGGGCCTTTGGGTACATTTGTGATCCAAACTATAAAGCTATATGTGGTAACATATCCTGTAATCTCTCCACTTGAAAGGTTAAGGAGGAGAATCAGTTCAAGGCCAGCCTTGGCTGCATTATGATTTTGGACATCATAAGAGATTTTTCTTTCCCCTTGTTATTGGATGTTTTTTATATTCTCTGATGAACACATATTTATTTTATAGTGGGAAAAATAAAATTTTATAGGAAAAATATTTGGGGAATAATGACTGTGGGGAATAGAAAAGAATTCTCTAAAGAAGAAACATCTTATTTTATTGCATTTATGTTTTGGTAGGGTCACATGCCATGGTGCATATAGAGGTCAGAGGACAAACTGTACAACTCTGTTTTCTTCCATCCTGTGGGCACTAGGGAGTAAGTTTAGGGTTGATGGCAAGAATCTTTATCTGCTGAGCCATCTCACTGGCCCAGAGGAATGACTAGTCCTGAAAGACAAATGAAACTTAAAGGAGAAATGAGGATATGGCTCCTCCTTGGCTGATGTGGGTCAGTCACTGTATAGTTGGTTCTTCTTCTTTTTTTAAAACGATTTATTATTTTTCTGAAATTATGTTGATATGCATGTATGTGCATAGGAGTGCAGGTGACTAAGGAGGTCAGAGGCATCAGATCGTTTTGGATCTGGAGTTCAGATACAGATGCTGAGAACTGAGCTCAGTTCTGCAAGATCATTAAGTGTTCTCAACCACTGAACCCCAGGTGATTAGCTTTAACTAATATGACATAATCTGGAATTGCTGGGGAGGGTAATCTGAATGAGTGATTGTCTAGACTAGGTTGGCCTGTGGGATGTCTATGGGGGTTGGCTTGATTATATTAATTGAGGTGAAAGACTTGCCCACTGCTGTTGGCACTGTTCTCTAGCAGGGGATCCTGGACAATACAAGAGTAGAAAAAGAGTTGAGCATAAAATAGGCATGAATTCATTCTCTGTGCTCTTGAACCTGCTCCACCAGCCCCCAAGAGCTGTGCATGTTTCTGCCCAGTTCTGCATATTGATCATCTTGGTAACTGGAGAGCTAGTGTGGTGGGAATCAACAAACCAACAAACTGGGATATTTTGTTTTGTTTGATACAGTGTCTCCAATAACCCAGGCTGACTTCAGAGTTGCTCGGTGATCAAGGATGATCTTGACTGTTTGATCTTCTGCCTCTATGTCCTGAATTCTAGGACTATAGGGATGTGCTTCTATGCCTGGCACCAAACAGGGATTTTTCCTGTGAGAGCCAATGGTTAGACTTACTGGTACACCACTGGCCATTGCTGTTATTAATGTGTCAGGCCCTATGCACATGGCACCCTGCACTGCCTAGGCTTTTAGGAAGGCTACGTATATCCCTTGAGACAATTGGCTGGAAATTTTTTGTTGGCAGAAGCAGTATCCCTTAAAAATGAGGTAATTTATCATATGCTTGTCACCTGAGAATGAATAGGTTTATATTGCTGAACCCAGGGGTTACTGTGAAATTTAAAGTTAACAGTTATTTGTCATCCTGGTTTAGGAAAGATATTTTTCTCAGATACTGTCTTACACTATTTCTTAAAAAGAGGCAGGGCAGAGGCTGGAGAGGTGGCTCAGCAGTTCAGAGCACTGACTGTTCTTGCAGAGGATCCAGGTTCAGCTCTCAGGACTCATGTGGCTCACCCTAACTCTAGTTCTGGGGAACCTGGCACCTTCTCACAGCCGTTGCTGGTTCCTGCACCATGCGGTCTGCATGTACCCTTACACACACCTATAAATAAAATTTAAAGTCTTAAAAAGAAAGGGAAAAGACCGAACTGACTGTCTCTTTGCCTGCCATATCATCGTCCCCCTTTATTCCCAAGTGTGTAACCCAGAGTCTTGCACATGCACGTAGTGCATGCTGTCAGTGAGCTACACCCCGGCCTTTCAAAGTGCCCCTCTGTAACTGACTTTCAGCTGTATTTGTCTTTTTAGAAACTAGGCCAACTTAAGTTGGTTAGTGCACGCAGGCTTCGGGCACATTGCTAAGCTGGAGCATTTAAGCAAAAGCATATGATTGGTGACAGAGTACAGGGAAGCCTGCCAGCAGATAGGTACGTGAAGGGGTGTTTGTGGGAGGCTGGTTGTCTTGGATAGGATAATGCATATCCAAAGAGGCATGTGAGGAGTCAGGACCTCGCAGGCAGCTCAGGACTGTAAAATAGGGGATGTCTGCTACTGTAGCTGAAGTCTAAAGTCAGAGCGGACAACTTTGGCCCCTGCTCTGCTACTTTCTGAGGGACCCTGCATAGTCACTTAGCTTCTCTGACTCCCACATGCCTCATTTGCTCCAGGCATCTAAGCCCTGGATTCAGTATCCAAAGAAGAGAGGGTGGAGGGAGAGAGTGACAGCAAGAGGTGGGAAGGGAGAAAGAGAGAGGGAAAGAGAGGGAGGGAGGGAGAGACAGACAGACACAGAGACTGATTTCTCTGCAGGTTGCTATAAGGTCAGATTAGGTAGTGCAGTATGCCACGTGTCTGGTACATAATACATCCCTTAATAAGTGATAGCTGTAATTATGACTTATACTGATTGATTTGCTCTCAGGAAAGTGATTCAGCTTCATTTAGTCAAGGAGTCCCTATAGTCTTCTGCTGGGAGCAGGCTGCAGGGCTGCCCTAGTGAAGCTGCTGCTGCTCACTGTTGCCAGTGATTCCTTCTATTTGCCCGCTGGCGGGGTCTGGGCCTTTGATTTGAAACTGTTACTTGTTACTAGGGTTGGTATCAGTGTCTTAGTCAGGGCTCTCTAAAGGAACAGGAACAGCACTGCTTTTATTTGATTGTTGGGGGGATTTATTAGATTGCCTTACAGTTCAGCTAGTTCAACAATGGCTGTCTGACAGTGGAAAGTCCAAGAATCCAATAGTTGTTCAGTCTGTGAGTCTGAGTTAGGGTTAGGGTTCCTACCCTAAGGATAAGCATATCTTAAATATGTGCTAGAATCCTGAAGAAGTAGTCTCTAATGCCAGTGAAGGAATGAACTTGCCATCAAGAGCAAGGGCAAGCTGGCAAAGAGCAAGGCTTCCTTCTTGCATGTCCTTTATCAGGCTTCCAGGTGTGGCCCGAGTTAAAGGTGGATCTTTCTACCTTAAAAGATGTGGATTAAAACCAAGTGGCACAAGCCTGTAATTTCAGCACTCAGGGAGGCAGAGGCAGGTGGATCACTGTGAGTTTGAGGCCAGCACAGCCAAGGATGCGTAACCCTGTCTGAGAAGAAAGAAAGAAAGAAAGAAAGAAAGAAAGAAAGAAAGAAAGAAAGAAAGA